TGAATTAAAGTGGATGCCAAGCAGGAAATTCACAATTTCCCTTGCAGCATTTTTCATAAGTGAGCAGCTTTCCCACAGATCCAGCTGCCAACAGTGCCCTCCCACTGTTTGACTCACATTCAGAATTCATTTCTATGTGCACCACAATATGAAAATTTTGCAAAGCATGAAAGGAGCATAGAATACTCCTGAGGTGTTTCTTCCTTGGGCCCAGGCTCCCAAAGCTTTTCTGTTTTGCCTGGTATTCTCTGCTAAACAATGACTTTTTAAATGCCATTTTGGAAAACCTACAACAGGATAACATTAATGGATGAACTAGTTGCATCCCAGCAGGGAATGTCTGTGTTGGATTCTGAGGAATCTGGTGTCTTTTGTTATGTAGTGAGCTAAAAATTGCAAGCAGAGCTTTAAGAAGTGGTTTGAATCTTCTGGAGCGCAAAGTCTCTGAGTTCCCAATTCCCATAACAGGATTGAAATGCTTATAAATTCAAGAGATTTATGAGCAATTCTTTTGTTGGGTTAAAACATATGCCATTCTGGGTAAGTTGTGAGAAAAGTAATGCCATGCTCTGGTAATACCACTCCATCCTCATTACCAATGTTCTGAATGCCTTGCCCTCCTTCCACGAACCCCTCTTGCAGTGCCTAATAGCAGTTGCACAGGCCATTCCTGTCTCTTGAGAAAGGCATCCACACTGGCTGCAGGGCCAAAAAGGACACAGCTACTCCTGATGGCACACTCTTTATCCTGCTGGGGAATTTTGTTACCTGCTCATTTTACCTGGAGATTTCCACAGTTCCTGACTCAGTTTCATTCCTTTTGGATTTCTTGAATTCTCTCACTCCGCATCAATTTATTTACACACTTGTTTCTTACTAGCATGGCCTGCTCTTCTGGACCACAACCAGCGATGATTACTCTGGGGTTACTCCTGGTCAATCCCTGAAGGCAGCTGCAAACTATACAATGTTCAGTGCTCAACATGATTTTTCTATTTAACTACTTATTTATATGAAGTCTATCTTAGTAGTCATAGATACTATTTATTAAATACTTCCTGTGGGCCAGGCACTGTACTGGGTGCTTTTGATGTTGTGTACAGATGTGTGATTCTGTATACATAATAGCATGTATCATTGTTGTTATGGATATCCGTTAATACTTTTAACTAATCCCTCCTCATTACAAATTTTAGAAAGAGGGGCTTGAATCTTATTTATCTTTATGTCCTTCTCCCTAACCTCAGAGCCTGGCACCAAATAAGTTGCTCAGTAAATGGCAATGATAATATTGGTTCGGTAGAGACATCATTAGGAAATAAATATTATTTTATAGAAGTTTATTTAAGTTTCCATCACTATCGTAGTATTATTATGGCTTGCAATTTTGGCACTCCTAAGGGGAATATTTATAGACTACTTGGGCAATTTACAATTATTCTCTCTTTATGTGCAATATTAGCTAATCGATTGCATATTAAAATAAGGAGTTTGTATGAATATTATGGCTTAAAATATTTGTGTTGCCAAAGTCAGTATAATACAAACACATGAACATCAATTTTTGCAGCATTTTTAGCAAACAGCCTGAAGTAATTCTTTACTTCATGAGACAGACAGGACTATAAATGGCAGTTTAGAGTCTAGATCGGTGTTCAGGTTTCAGGAAACCCCTTCCCTCTGCCTTTTTGACTTGATTTGTTTAAACCCCTCCTAGGCTTTTGACATGTATGTAGATGAATTGTTTGACATGGTTCATCTAGGGGGTTTTGTTTGTATTTGTTTTTTGAAGGTACTACTAATAAATCAAGGTGATATGTTAACTTAATACAGAGAAAATTGTATTTTTAATCCTAATCCCCAATATGACCATATGTTTTGGTTATAAGGACATAACAAAAAATGTTGATGGCCTAGTATAACCCATTCCTTCTTCTGGAAAAAGCATCACAATGAAGGAGTGTCCCTGGGTATAATTTTCATTTTTAGAAAAGTCACAGACTCCTTAAATGTGCAATGTGGTGGCCATTTTGTCTGAATTAGGGTGTTCTTTCTGAGTTTTTATTTTTTTCTTTGTTCTAATTTCCATCTCTAGATTTTCTCTTTTATGCATGCTAAATTTAAGTGTAAAAAAGAACCTCAAATCCAAAATAATAGATGGAAGACAGGAAAACATAGGCTGATTATTGCAAGACTGCATCATATATTACATAAAGACAGAGTCTCAGCAATTTATTTGGCTGTGTCTGGGTGCTTGCTTAGGGAGCTAGAGATCTATTCTTCCATTCTATCAACAGTTCTTGCTGTCAATTAATTAGAATATATATTCCTATTAATTCAAGAATGTGTGATGCCTTCTTTATGTACACTGCAAGCATTTCCGTGAAACTGCATCTGCCCTCAGTTACAACATGCAGCACTCCCACCCCTGAATTTTACTGTTTCTTTCCCAATCTCCATATTATATGCTTGCCAAACCGTATGGATGCTTTTTGGATTAGAAATGCATTCCTGCTTTAATCATATTTTAAAATGTTGAAATTTTAACTTGATCTCTTTACAAACATGGCTAAGTAAATCCCATATAACAGATCAGGAAATTAGGCCACCTGTGATCTGGCTATAATATGCAAACCAAATGGTTAAATATCTTTCAACAGTGGATTTCCCCCTGATGGGCATAACTATCTTAACAGAAACTAAAGACACATGTCCACTTCTGAAATAATCTCAACCTTTTGATAATAGAGGTGCTAAACCCATCCTCAATTATCTTCATCCTCAGACCTGCATTTCCTTATTGGATTCTATACCTCAGCTAATGGCATTTCAATACACCCTGTTGTCTCAGCTAGAACTCTTAAAGTCATCTTTGACTTATGTCCCTTATTTTCCATGTCCAATTGATCATCAGACCTGTCATTTCTCCCTCAGAAGTGTCCTCTGGCTAAAGTCCCTTTTCATCATCCTCATGGCCACTGGCTTAGACCCTCATCATTTTCGTTGGGAGTATTAATACAGCCTCCTATCTGATCTCCCTGGCATCTATCTTCCTCTTCTCCAGTCCATTCTTCACATAGACACTGGAATGATCTTTTGGAAAACAATTCTCATCAAGTTACTTCTCTCCTTCAAGACCTCAGCTGGAGTCCAATTGTTCACAGGATGAACTCTAAACCCCTACCTAGGCTGGGCCTACAAGGCTTTTGCAACTGGGCAATCAATTACTTCTTCAGTTACAGTTCTTGTTATTTTCTAGGTGGATCTCCTTTCTGGCTCCATTCCTAAACTTGCATATCAAACCCTTATGCTAATTAATTATGTTAATTAATGCCTTTGCAGATGCTTTCCTACTTCCTGAATGCTTCTTTTCTCCTTCACTACTGGACAAACTCTTACCTTTTAAGACCATGCTAATATCGCCTTCTCTTGAAGTCTTTCCTGACACCTATAGGTAAAATTATTCTTACCCTGCCCTGGACTTTCTCATCATGTTGGTGATACTTCTATTATAACATTCATGCTTTGTTTCTGATTACTTGTTAACAGATCTGGTTGTAAACTCTTGAGGGGAGAGGATTCTCCCAATATCTGATTCATGTTTGAATTTGCTAAGTAGAAGGACATTTAATAAATGCTGCATGCATGAATGAATGACTTATATTGATCTTATCCACATACTATAGTGCTTTGCAACCACACCAACTGATATTTTTACTTATGAGTGCTTCTACTATAACAGGATATATGCTTTCCTGAAAAATTCGATATTCTGCAAAAACAAAACAAAGCAAACACAAACAATAAGAAGAGCCCGTGAGGTAGACCACTCAAAACCTCAAATAATTTGTAATCAGAGCCCTAAGAAAAACAGTACTTGGTATCTGAGGTATTGTATCTCCCCGGAAGTCTCTTTACCGTGGCTGGAGATTGCCATAGTAGAAATTAATGGCAAACAGTAATAATAGAGTGGAGATGCTGATAGCACTTTGATTAGCTGGGGAAGGGGTTTGTGGAGATAATGTAGATGAAAATGGAGTGTGAGCCAATAGAGTGGTTGTTAAGGTGGGCATGGGTTGGTGCAACCTGCCACAATCCTAGGGTCTCTTTAGGAAGCTGCCTTTCTGGCAGGGGCTACCTTCCTTCTGTGGCTCTAGCTTCTTCATGGTCCCAGTTTCCACTGGGTGGTCCTCTGCTGGGGTTTTAGCTCCTACTAGACAGCCCTGGCTTCTGAGCTCTAGGAGCAACACCTCTTCTCCTGCCCCTTGGATGTGGTAGAGTTTCCTCCTATTGCTAATTTCTGCTCCATTATTTCTTGTCTGGCTTCTTAGCTCTTCACCCATCATATTACTATTTCCTTGTAATAAATTGCCTCTGCATGAAAGATCTAAAGTGTGTTTTTTTGACTCGACCCTAACTGATATGCTATTGAAAACAACCTAAAGTAAATTAGATATACCACAGGTTCCCATTGCCCAACTTGTAGGAAAAAATAAAAATTGCCATGTCTGTGTCCACCCTGTAAGAAGGTAATGCCACTCTATTGCCCTAATCGGGCATTGTGAATGTTAATGAGGTCTTGTGAATAATTCTGAAAGTATTAAGAAAGCCCATGAACTCTTTGCTAAGAATTAGGCACAGCCCCCCCCCAATCACAAATTTGAGCTTGGACATTCCTCTCATCTGCAGAAGAAGCTGTAGAACTATGCTGCTGCTGGTATTTGAGAACACAGTCTTGGTCTATGATGTTTAAAGGCTCATTTTTCTGGCTTTCTTTTAAGTAGATAATTAACAGAGGAAGTGAATGAAATGTCTTGCGAATTCCAAAATTTCCATTGCCTTTATTCTCAACCAATTCATAAGAAACAACAACGAAAATTTCAACTAAATCTGAAAGCAAGCCAGTTCCAAATTCTTTGAGGAGTGCTGAAATAAAAAATATAGCAACAATTTAAAAAGGAACAAGCTCTGTAAGTACACACTGTAAAGCCTTGTGCTAGCACCTCTTGCAAAAGATGATTTTTTATGTTTCCAGGAGAATAGGAGGATGGGAATCTTCTTGGTACCCCCATCTAACATCTGCTATTGCAACTAATCCAACCTTTATTGACAAAAAGGATTCTGAAGCCGTAATCACACAGGCTAAGGAAAGAATAATGCAGCTCTTTTGAGTCAGGATTAAGTTGTGTTGGTTGATGGGTATGGAAAAACAATATTATACTTGGCTTCTAAATAAATACTGCAGAGACCTCTTGTAAATCCTCCAGTAATTTTTTGTAATCCTTCACAAGTAGTAAAATCATTGCTATGAGGCAGACAGGAGAGGAATCCACAAATAAGACATCTGTTATTGTTATATCAATGATGATATATGCCCAACTCTGAAATAACAACATTTAACAAGAAATGGAACCTTATCCAAAATGAGATCTTACTCACTTCCATGACTTCATTTGCTACATTAATAAGAGTAAACTCAAGTTTATAATTGGGTGATCTTATCTATTAGCATTAGTAATATATCACAGGTATAGGGCTTTATATTTTAGATTAATGGAATTTAAAATGTTGGAAAAGTCCTATGCTAACATATAGCATGCATGGACAGATGAATGCAATGATAAATTACATAAACAGAAAAATATTAGGGCTGTTTGCCCTTTGCTCTATGTTTTTAGAGGAAATTTGTCCCCTTGTTCCATTTTCAGTTTATTTGTTACAAATTTAAGATGTTCTTACAACATATTAGAATGACAATGAAAAAATGCTGAGGCTTAGGATGTTTTCATAAGATATTCTTCCTAAATCTTAATATTTAAAGTGAATATTTAGAGAAATAATTTATTGTCTGAATCTAACACATTTTTCCAACATACAGATGAAAAATAAATTTTAAACTCTAAAGGCTATGCCACCCTTTGATTAGGAGAGTTTTTAAGAATCCCAAACCCCAAAATAGAACTTTAGCGATGGAATAAGCAATTATTTGCTAGCACAGAAATCAAAAGTATCTTAAATAGGCTCTTTTAAGATGCTTCAGATGATATCCAGAAATCTTTTGGTTTTGACTTTTTCATTGACTTCTTTTGACTCCTATACTTTACATCCTATTGAAACACACATTTGCTCAGCTCTCAAATTTGGAAGGAAGAAATTCCATATATTCCCTAGTTGCCTCTTAGTCCCATGCTCTGCAATGTATACAGAAGAGAAGTCCTTGCTTTTTCTGTGGATTTTCAGCTCAAACTCATTTTACTCCTTCTCCAGTCTTTGCTAAAGCTTGTGACTATGGTAGCCAAAGTTAGAATGTTGTATGATCCTGCTTAGAAAATAGGTGTTGGAGCCAAGTAGGAAGCATCTAGGCCTTTCAACATTTACCATCATGGACTATAATGAACTTTTTGAAATACTCTCTTTCTTGGGCCTCTGTGATACTCTTCTTTCCTGGCTCTTCTGCTTCTTTGGCCTGATCATTTCTTCTCAGTTTACTTTATTAGCTCTCATTCCTTTTCACTATCTTTGTATGTAGGGACTTCTAGAGCTCTGTCCCTGATCATCGTGTATACCTTTGTCATTATATCTACCATACTTGATGGCCCAAAGTAAATGACTGAGTGGCGCAAAAGAGTGGTATGGCAATTATTAGGTTAGGTGAGTCCCACTTAAGACTCACTATATTTCTAAAGCAGACTATATTATAGCATCATATTTAAGAGAAGAAATAATATTCTCTTTCTCTAAATCCATGAAGAATGGCCATTCTGGACTCTCATTAGGCCTTCTTTGTAAGCAACAATTTGGAGAAATGTGAGTTTTTTTCTTACTGTGTATATATATATGTTTCTTTTTTTTTTATTTCAAGAAAATATGAGTATAAACCTTTTGGTTGCATTTTATATCTTTGCCTCTCCCTAGCAAGAGTTAGAGATATGACTTCATCCTCCAAAATGCTCGCCACATCCCTCAGATGTGGGTTGACCCCCCCAACCCCCAAATCCCTGGTGGACACCATCACCATTTGAGCACCATAGTGTTAATCAGTCAGTACAAATTTGATGGCGAATACATGTGGATCCCATTCTTTCAATTAGCTTGAATTTTTTAAAAAAAGGGCATTTAATCATACTGAGTAGATTAATGGTATATATGATATAAAGCTATCTAACTATTAATGATATTAATCTGTAAGCTACTCGATAAATAAATTGTCTGCCTTCACCTTCCTCAGTTCTGTTGGGCCTATAGATACATGCAAGTGCTAAGGCCTTTCATCTGCAATCTAAGTCCTCCTATACCATTGGGCTCAGATCTTGACCCTGGAAAGAACATTAGGAGATTTTTGCCTCATCAGGGGGTGGGATCTAAAATTAGTCTTGCTTCTATAAGATCTCTAAGACTTGCTGTTCTAATGTTAGTTCTGGTTCTCATATATCCTCTAAGGTGAAGGTTTCTCCACATCTTTCTATGCAAGTCCAGTGAGTGCAAATAGGCATATCATAGGGTTTCATTTCTTGAACTTAAAAGACCATGGAAATATCCCTGGGTTTGCAGATAAACATTCCAAAATCCTGTAGGCACTGGCTTTCTGCTCTAGATTCCAGACCACTGGCAGATACCTTGCCTGTCTCTTGCCTGCCAACATTCTCAGGTGCTAGAATTTTTTCAGGTACCTCTACCTCCTAAATAGGGTCCTGATCCTCAAATAAACCGAAGCCTAAAAATGTGGCACTGTTGCACACTATGTTTGAGATCACAAAGTCCTCAGGGACCTGATGAACTCCTATTAATACAGGTGCTAATTTGAACTACTGCTGGACGGTAGTGGCCAGCTCTCCTATTGGGTCATCTTTCAATCAATCTGCTCCTGCTGACTCCTCTTTGCCTACCACCCACTAAATTCTTAGTGTGCTCCACAGACCAAGTTCTACAGATCTGATAATTTTTTCTGGTCTCAAGAGGCGAGATCAGCCTTAATGAGATAAAGTCATGCATTAATTTAAGTGTGTCTGATGGGCTAATTACTATCACCTCAAAATAATATTTATTGAACAAATAAAGATATTCTCTCACTCAGTGTAAGGAGACAGAGAACTGTAAGACCTTGTTTCTGTCCTCAAAGTGTTTGCATTTCAATTGGATACACACACACACACACACACACACAGCACAAGGCAATACAAATGCTAACTAAACCAACAAGAAGTGCCACAGAGGCTCAGATAAGAGAAAGATAATAATAATTCTGGGGTAGACAAGGAAGGCTTTATGCAGGAGGTGGGGGTCTGAGTATTGAAAAAAAAAGCAGAGACAGTTGTGTAGGGAGAAAGAAAACAGATAGCAAAGTTTGGAGAAACAAGATCACAAGCCTGAAGGCAGGCCAGCATCATTGGAACTGAGTATTTAGAAAGGGAATTGTGAGGAAAGATTTCTTGTATTTTTTTTTATGAGTCTCATTTGGAAGGGATAGGACTTCCTCAAGGTGACTGCAAAATGGGAAGAGCTTTCTGGCCTCTAAGCTTTGGGAGCCACATGTCATATTAGTGGCAGCCATCACTGCTGCCATCACTGAGAAAGAGTTGGCTCTACCAATGGTACCAAAAAGAAACCTGAGATGGGATGATTTCAGTTTAGTACATAATTCTTTTTTTTTTTTTTTTTTGAGTCCAGCGGCTTTTATTAGGTTTGTCTCCTATACCATGAATTCATAGGGAATAGATTCTGGCAGCTCAAGGTCCTTTCTTTGCTTCTCACAGGTGTGCTATACCTATTACGCCATGAATTCACAGGGAACTGTCGCTTCTCACAAAGTGTGAAACACCTATTATGCCATGAATTCATAAGGAATAGGTTCCAGCAGCTCGGGCTCCTTTCCATTGGTTCTCACAAAGTGTGCTTCTCTGGGTGGAGCAGGCTGTCGCTTCAGTTGAACCCAGGTACCTTTCTCTTTGGCTTCCTTCTTTTTCTGATCATTTTCCTTCACACGCTTCAGGAAGCTATCTCGGCTCTTAGAGTGCTTAATGTGCGCGATACGTACATTAATCCTCTTGGCAAGAATCTTGCCCTTAACTTGTTTATTTACAACAATTCCAGCAGCATGCTGGGTAACATTGTAGACTCTTCCAGTTTTGCCATGGTAACATTTGTGGGGCATGCCTTTTTGAACAGTACCCATTCCCTTGATGTCTACAATATCACCTTTCTTGTAGATTCGCATGTATGTGGCCAAAGGAACAACTCCATGTTTTCTAAAAGGCCTAGAGAACATGTATCGGGTGCCTCTCCTCTTTCCCTTTGTGTTCGTCATTTTGGCGAATTACTGGAAGATGGCGGCTCCGGCCGAAAGGAAGTGTACATAATTCTATAAAGGCAAACACTGACCCTTTCTCACTTCTACTCAAAACTCCAAGCTCCTCTGGGAGGCTTGCTTTTCCCAACAAGGGTACTCTTGTACATTGCAATTGCAGTTTGTATGTACTATAGAGAAATGGAGAAAGGGATTCGTCCTGGGTATGGTGCCTGCACTTTCCCTGATAAGAGAAAAATCAAATCTTGAATTTAGTACCATGAGCATGAAATGAGAGAAGAGAGAAAGTAAGAGGAAAGAAAGGAGGGAGAGAGAGGCCTTTCTGAGCTAGCTGGGAAGCAAACTGCTTAGTGTTATAAACTAAATCCGGTGCTTTAAGTTGGGTTTTGGAAACACAGAGGAGCTCTGGAAGTGTAGTGTCATGTATATGCTTAGTGAACTAGATGAAATGTGAAGCAATAAAGGTCTTTGTGCCTTTCTTCTCAATTTCTATGCCTCTTTCCTACCTGCCTCTGGCTCATCAGCCCTTGCTCAGCTACTCAATATTCTGTTACAGAGTCTCACTCATGTCTGTCCCTCCCAAAAAAGCATTCTAATTCAACATTTTCCCTTTCTACCTACCCCCTCCACAAGTCTTACCACCTAAAAAATGGTATTAACGTATGCCATTTATTGAATACTTAAGATATACTTGGCCGGGTGCGGTGGCTCATGCCTGTAATCCTAACACCCTAGGAGGCCGAGGCGGGAGGATCACTTGAGCTTAGGAGTTCGAGACCATCCTGAGCAAGAGTGAGACCCCTATCTCTACTATAAATAAAAAGAAATTAGCCAAACAACTAAAAATAGAAAAAAATTAGCCAGGCATGGTGGTGTGTGCCTGTAGTCCCAGCTACCCAGGAGGCTGAGGTAGGAGGATCGCTTGAGCCCAGGAGTTTGAGGTTGCTGTGAGCTAGGCTGATGCCTTGGCACTCTAGCCTGGGCAAGAGAGTGAGACTTTATCTAAGAAAAAAAAAAAGATATACCCAGCATGTACATTATTTCATCTAATGGAAGCATCAGCTCATAGAATATAAAATGACTAGTCCAGCTTCTCTGACCATCAATTTCCTCATTTATAGAATAGGCAGAAGTGCTTGCCTTATAGGTCAGTTTCAAGATTACAAAGAAGGAAACAGAGGCTCAGAAATTGAGGTCACACACAATGAAAATGTCCTGAGCCAGGGTTCGAACTCACAGGATCCGACAAAAGTTTGTGCTTATCTCCCTCTACTGTGCAACAGCATGAAGATTTCAAGATCTGGTTGTGGGGTAAGAGGCCTGAGACTTGGGAGTGTCTGGAATCACCAGATAAAATACGGATGTCAGTTAAGTTGGAATTTCAGGTAAACAATGAACAACTTTTTTTGTATATGTTTATACCAGATATCACATGGAACATGCTTACCTTCTAGTATTCATTGTTTACCTAAAATTTAAATTTCACTGGGTATTGTGTTGTCTTTTTCTCTTCTAAATATGGCAACCCTACCAGTACTCTATAAATTGCATCATGTAGACAACTGTTCAAGGGTAAGGAATGTGCTCTTTGAGGCTAAAAAGAAGTATTTATTATTATTTTTTTATTATTTCAGCATATTATGGGGGTACAAATGTTACGTATATTGCCTTTGCCCCCCCTCCCCCCTCGAGTCAGATCTTCAAGTGTGTCCATCCCCCAAACATTGCACATCTCACTCATGTTTATATATACCCATCCCCTCCTCCCCCCTCCCAACACCCCATAAATGTTATTCGTATATGTCCACTTAGGTGTTGGTCTGTTAATACCAATTTGCTGGTGAGTACATGTGGTGCTTGTTTTTCTATTCTTGAGATACTTCACTTAGTAGTATGGGTTCCAGCTCTATCCAGGAAAATACAAGAGGTGCTATATCACCATTGTTTCTTAAAGCTGAATAGTACTCCATGGTATACATATACCACATTTTATTAATCCACTCATGTATTGATGGGCACCTGGGTTGTTTCCACACCTTTGCGATTGTGAACTGTGCTGCTATAAACATTCAAGTGCAGGTGTCCCATTTGTAGAGTGTCATTTGATCTTTTGGGTAGATGTCCAGTAGTGGAATTGCTGGATCAAATGGTAGATCTACTTGTATTGCTTTAAGGTATCTCCATATTGCTTTCCACAGAGGCTGAACCAGTTTGCAGTCCCACCAGCAGTGTAGGAGTGTTCCTATTTTTTATCATTAAGTCATAGCCTGTTAGAAATGGAAAGTTGCTTAGAGGTCATCTAGTCTTCATTTTAGCAATGAATATAATAAAAATTAGGGTGGAGAAATGGCTTGCGCAAAGTCACAGTGCTTATAAAGAGCAGAGACAAGATTTGAAGTCAGCTCCATTGTCCTTGTTTAATGTTGAATCCTCGACATTCAGAGCAGATGAAAACGTTAGAAGGGACCTGAGGTTTGCTGGTGAAAGAAGCATGGTAGTCTCGTGCATTATAGGGATTTAATCAATATTTTGGTCAAAATGATGGTTTCATATTGATACTTTGCTCGGTACAATGCTTTACATGGAATAGGCACTGGCATTAATGCCTGTTGATAATGACGTGTGTCACACACATGTGCACGAGTATAACCATAAATGCACACACACACACACATTCATCCTTAGGCCTTGAGAGGATATACTGATATCTTTCAAGGGCATTATTAAATGTCTTTGGCAAATATGAACCTAACTCAAGTCAACCAATTTTTGATGTCCCTGAAGGCTATAGTAGCTAATAGAAAACCTAAGGCAGCATAACATCTAAACTAAAGGAAAGAAACATCTGTAGAGCTGTGCTATTCAAAACGGGTGCCACTAGCCACACATGGCTATTGAGCATGTAACAGGTGGCTAGTCCTAACTGAGATATGCCATAAATATAAATTACATATGAGATTTTAAAAACTTAGTACAAAAATATGGTAAAATATCATAATTTTTATATTACTTGCATTTTTACACACTTTTGATATTTTGGGTTCTATAAAATATATTATTAAAATAAACTTCACCTGTTTGGTTTTGCTTTTTTAGTATGACTACTAGAAAAATTTAAGTTATATAAGCATATCAGATTATATTTCTATTGGACAGCAGTATTCTAGAAGATTCACTAATTAACAGGGGGGGGAAGAGATTAGGTTACACACATACATACACACATCTTGCCATCGATCTATAATAGTATTGAACTCATTTATTTGTTTTACTGAAAATTTATGAAACTGTTTTGGAAAATGCAAACCATTTTGGAAATACAATGTATCTTTATACAGTTGGCTATTGGATTTTCCTTTCAGAACTCATCAAACATTTACTGATCTCAGGCTGCTTACCTCTTTGCGGCAAGCCACTTAGTCTGAGTGAATTAAATTCCTCAGTTTCCTCATCTGCGACCAAGAATCTCCAACCAAGAATCTCCAAAAGAAGAGACCTGTTCCTGTTCCCAACACCCATGAAACCCAAGACTGCCAGGACAATGAATAATGTGGCCCCATTGTTGCTGACAGATGGTAATCATTCACTTCTTAGTGTATGTTTTCTGAAATGCTTTTGAGTTCACGCCCCCATGGCGGCTGTTGCCATGGTTGTATGCTTTATGGCGTTAGCCCCAAGCCCCTTCGCCTTCCCAGAAAAGAGACAGCCTTGCTGCAAGTTTCACAATTGTAAAAATATTTTACTAGTCAGTGCCTTTGTAATCTCTTCTTGTATTTCCCATTAAAGTTGGGTAATTCATAGATCCAGACAATAAAAGCTATCAGATAGGGGAGGCACAATCTGATTCCATTTCATTACAAAGTGCCCTAAGAAAGTCTCCCGCATGGGGAATTTGCATTCTAAAGTCCTCTCTGGTTCTGGCAATGCTAAATTTCAAGCTCTTACCTTTGCTGTGGAGGTTCTTTTGCACTTTTTGGTTAGTGGCAAAGCCAGAATGTCTCCTTGTGATGTCAACTTATGCCTGATAGAAGAAAAGATGAATATTTTGGAGGATTTTCTTTTTTCCCATTTCAACCTCATCTTTGTTAGTGCATCTGCACTCCACCTGACCTTTTTTGGTTCTGTTTTTAATTCTCCTCATATACCAGCTTTTAGTGGAAACTGTGTGCTTTAAGTAATGAAGGTCAAATTTCTGAGCCCTTGTATGCTCGCCCAATGATTTCTAGCCCTCTTTAATCCTTCCCTACACCAACTGCTGCAGTAATGAGGGGCAAGGGGCGGCTGAGGATTGAGGTCATGGGCTTTCAGTTTGCAGTTATATATTTTGGTGGTGCTTACGTGGAACAGCTCCTCTCAGTTTCCTAGAAGTGAGTTAAAAAAAAAAAAGAAAGAAAGAAAGGAGAAAAGGAAAGAAACCACTGAATTCCTTGAAAGTGTATTGATATTGTTTGTGTGTGTGTTTTCCTGCCACATTGTGCATCGTTAGTAAAGAGAAGGTGAAGCTTTTGTAAGTCATAAAAAGAAATGTATCTAAGTGTATACAAAAAAACAATTAGGAAGAAACAGTGGTACTTTGCCCACTAGTATCAAAGTACAGGGGAGTTTCCTACTGACTAAAGAATTGTTGCAACTCCCACTTATGTTAAAGGCATTTTTTTTCCTGCCTATTCCTTCTCAGGACATTCATAGCATTAAAAACACCCTATCTTTAAATCTCTGCAAGTATATATACAGAATTCTACTCTAAAGATATTGTATTACTAATTCAGGACTCATTAAAATATTTGTAATTATTCTATCACCTTTATTGTAAAATAGAACCAATTTAAACTGTCAGTATGTAAGAGTCAGTCCTGAAAATCTTAATGGAAACTACATGTTGAATTACAGACCCTGTATAAAGCTGTTGTTATGGTTTAAGACTATAATATGTGAAAACTGCTATATTTGATGAAATGTCATGAAGGGATTTTTGACATTACTCATGAGATACTTTAATAAACATTTTCTCTCCTGGGATGGACAAATGGGGAAAAGGAAGAGAGGAAAAATAAACTTCATTTATTTGCTTCTGTGTTTGTTTATTCATTTACTTATTCATTGGCATTCAACAAATATTTATTGAGCACCTGGTTTATGCCAGGTATTCTGTTAAACACTGGAGATGTTCTGTTTACTGACAGCTAAATATTAATACAAAAAGTCGAGCAATTATTTAAACAATTTAGGCACTATTTTCTCTGTGTTTAATTATTAGTTTTTTAAAAAACTTTTCTTGTTATATGATAAGCACTCTACTCAGTCTCAGGGGCACATTGATATCAGCCTAAACTTTTTAAGGAGCTTACCTTTTATTAGGAGGATATTAGACAGATATCAAATACCTATAACACAAGAGTGCATGTGGCAAATGCCACAGAGACACATATAAACTGCAATGGAGGTACAATGATAGAAAAGATGACTTTCAACAGCAAAGGTATCACGCACCATACCAGGGAAAATTGCTAGAGGGAATGACATTTAAGTTAGACCTTGAGGGATCCTAACAGGTTTAGAGTAATGGAGAGCAACAAAGAGATTCTAGGAGGAGAGACTATCAAAAAGACATCACCAAGTCCAAATGGTATCTATGGCATATGATATAAAGTACTGAGACACAAAACCCCGTAGTTGAAAGGCCTTGAATGCAAGGCCCAAGAATTCGGACTGCATGTTGTAGGCATTATCGGAGATAAGACATGATGAAATAGTGGTTCTCCGCTTTTAGACAACTTTAATCTTGCAAATGCTGGGGTCATGTGATGAAGAGAAAAGTAGGCTTGTAGCAGAAAATATACTTCCAAGGCTTTATAGTTCTTGCTTTGCTTCTCATTTCACCCGCCTCTTTCTGTGCCAAGTTCTTTTCCAAGCTATTATGATTCTGAGCTTTTTAGAATCGTGCTGAAATTCTGTCAAAGCATTCACCTTAACAAGTGGATGACAGCAAAGCATCATCCTTTTAAAACGTTCCCCAAAGCCAACAGCTGTGTTCGCTTTGCACCTAGCCTGCACCATTGCATTCTGAGAGGCAATCCTCAAACATATTGGATGCGACTCTGAACTCGTAGGATTGTAAGGGCGAGTGGCACTGAAGTGAGTCAGCGTTCCTGTTACAGGGACTCCGTGCAGACACCAAGTGCCCCCTTGCAGCTGTGTTATGAGAACGGAACTCCCCCAAATTGCCAGCACTTACATGTAACGAGAGGAAATGAAAATAGTAAAATAGGAGCAGAGAGCGGGTGTCTAAGCGAGAAAACTTCTAAATGGTGAAATTCCAATCTTTTTTATAACTTTCTAAGAAACCCTCTTCCAGATTCTGTTCTGAAGAGCTATCAGATGAAAATGTTTGGAAAATGACTGTGGGCATGTATGTCAGGGGAGTGGTTTAATGCACACATTATGGCTCTAAATATTTAACTTGCATATATATTAATTTCAAAAAGTTACATATAAAACATGAATACATTTTTCTCATAAAAGTCCACTTGGTATGGAAGACTGCAGAGTAAAAAGTGGAAGCCCTTTTCCACCCTGAAGACTCCCTTCCCATCCTGTTCTGCTCTTGTCTACTCTCCTAAGAAGTTGCCACTGCTGTCAGTTTTTGATTTCTTCCAGACCTTTTTCCATGCATTTATACCCCTCCCCCACATACTGCTTTACTTTGTTGATTCATATACTATATATTATTCCACAACTTGCTTTTGCAGAATATTTCAGTTGCACACATGGAGTTACCTTATTTTTTTACTTGCTACATAGGTCTACACAATATACATTTGTATAGCTTATTAACCATTCCTTTATTGATGGGCATTTAGGATGTTTCCAGTTTTTTCACTATTAAAAACAATGCTATAATAATCATCTTCCTAACTCCCTTTGTGTATATGTGAGAATACTTCCTCAAGACAAATACCTAGAAGAGGACGTGCTGGGTCAAAGTTTATCCATATAAAAAAAGACAATAATAGGATATTTCCAATGCATTTATGTATGATTATTTTTTTAAAAAAATCTTTATTCTTTGGCAAAGATCTGTTCCAATGGAAATCCTGATTACAGTTGCCTATCAAAATCATCCCCAAAGTTCTTGATTTTTTTTTTTTCTCATTGTGCTCAAAGTCCACTCCAGAAGCAAAATTCTGTTTGTGATGAGATATGCCAATTACATGCATTTAGATATAGGTGCTGCCACTCTGTTTTCTGGTGCTGAGCACTAAAGATGGCTTTACAAGGCATAGTACAGCTTTACCAGATAAAATCACGCATGGGCTTGATAAAGTAGAGCATGAACTTCAAAGGTACATAAGACAATTAGTTAGGTAGGCATCTGTCTTTGGGTCATGTAGATTATTCAGAGCCCCATCTGAGCAACAGAAAAGCTGGATAAAACAAAAGCCCTTATTTTGAGTATCCAGGACTGTTTTCTTTTTCTGACATAGTTGTCAACAATGATATTTTACATTTTGTGTTTCTCAAATGATTTCCCAAGCACACTGTGCATTAAATACATATGCAAAAATTAGGGGAATTTGGTGTTAGCACCTTCATTTTTAAAAATCTTCATAGGGGAATTATTCAGAATGCCCAGCATATCTTAAAATATGAATTTTTATACAATAGATTATATGGTCTTTCAACAAGCTGCTTCCAGTGTTAGAGGGGAATAATCCAAAAATCCTGACTGAGTTTTGGAATTGAACCTGATGGGAATCTTAGCCAGAGCCCAGCTTACACGAAATGCATCCTCACTGTTGGTCAGTGGCCTTTATAATGTGGACATGGGAAAGACAGGTTGGGTATCCGGGCCATGCAGGTGGAAACAATTAAGATTCAAAAGCTATTTTGAAAACGAATTTGCTTTTCTCTTTATTCTCCACATAAAAAGTAGTGCTAAGGTTCCTAAAATCTCTCACCCACTCATTAAATAAATGTATTAGTAGAACGTTTGAGGTTTTATTGCTTATGATTTAAAATCTACCTTAGATAGCATATGGAATATGTATATACATACATCTATAAACACACATAGATGGTCAAATCTGTGTTTCACATCAAACATCTACTGTATGTTTCACTAGAGAGACAAGACCCATGTGTTTTGCAGAAGCTTTTAAAGCTGTTTCATTTATTTTATTAGCCTTTAATGAATGTAATTAGAACCCAAGTAATTAAATGCAATTGTGCTCAGTATGTTCCTGTTGTAAATTGCCCTAAACAATGTGCATCGTGTGAACAAATTTGTGGGATTAATCGAGGATAGATAATGTTTTTGGATAGTATTTCACACTAAACGGCCGCAGAGAGAAACAAAGAAGCTGGCGCAGTGTCATTAATCTTAGTCAACTGGCAGCTCTGGTGTAATTTGCATGACTTAGACAGTGACACAGGATGAGGCTTGCTTGGGATGGGTGTTAGATCACTATGATACATATGTATTTACTCCCCTTTAGTCTCCTGATTTATAGGCAGAAAGAAGTTTGTATGTGGAAATGGATAAAAACAACAGTGTTAATGGAAGGAGTTGTAGATTACCCGAATTATTACTGGCAATATACATGTTCCTTTGTTTTCATATTGAGCATTTCTGTTTTATGGACGTTAAAAACACATCTGTGAATCCCTGTCAAGATAGAGAAAAACAGTAGATATATTGCGGCTGGATGGTGGGATACCAGTAGAAGTTTGGCTTCCCCCAACCGCCCCCCCCCCGCCCCCCGTTTCTATATCTGATATACATTGATTCATTGCTTGAGGAACCTAACCCTTTCAGGAGAGGCGCTTTTGAATTGTATTACAGAAAATCTTCAAGCTCCACTTAGGATGAAAATATCATTTGGAAATAAGCGTTTGGAAACATGGATAGCAATCGCAAATGTTTTCTTTTTTCATGGTAAGATGTAGAATGCAACTCTGAATTACAGAAACTATTAGATAAGACATTCAAAGAAAAGCACACAAATTGAGCTTCAAATGTCA